GGTAAACTCTGAACACTGGTAGTTCGGTCAGGGGTTAGAATCCCGGCAAATTTGCTGGTTCCATGGGCGTTTCCGTCTTTTCACTCATGCGTTATTTGCATACAAGCCAATTACTCTTCGAAAGTCCTCAGCAAAGGCATCTCTCTTCTTAGGCAGATAGTCCTCTTATGCTTTGCCATAAGTAAAAGAAACTAAATAATTTGTTATGTATATTCCTTTTATAACAAAAATGGCACATAAAGAATTTCTTTCTATAAAATGGGTTTTACATTTTATCTCAACCCTACCTATTTCTATGTTTATTTAAAAAAAATTGAAATTTGTTAGAGAAACTTAAAGGAAAATAAGTGAGGGCGGCAGTTTTAAGGTTTTGCCCCACCTAAGAAAAATGCCAAGGCCGGCGCTGAGTCTACTTGCATAACAAAATTCGTGACAGTCATGTTTTAAGTTTGTATAATTGAATAGCAAATGTGCTCACAGGTGTTTCATCAGGGTTCGTACGGTCCTTAAAAGTCTTTAGACGTACGGTCCTTAAAAGTCCTTAAAAGTCTTTAGTTTTTTTGGAACCAATTTTTGGTCCTTAAAAGTCCTTAATTTCAGCCAAAATCGGCAGAAGGTCCTTAATTTTAATCATCTGAAATTTCTGTCTGTTTTTACGACTACCATTTTGAGTGTGAATTAGCATTTTGGTGGAATATTTTTGACGATTCACTAAGAAATATGGTTATCTTTTGAATGGATGAATAAGTTCATGTGATATAATTTTATTCCTATAAATGGTGGAATGCTCGAGTTTCCAAGCAAGAAGAGAAACATTTGTATTTCGAAATTATTTCATTTTTTCTAATGAAGAGCTCTGAAACAACTTTTCTCTTTTGGAGGTATGAATTCTTTTATTAAACGGTTCTAAATTTGGCGATATTAAGATCAGTTTCTACAGAAAATTTTTAATTCCGAGATCTTGAAATTTGTTTGACTATTTTTTTAAACATTGTAATATTGATAAATTTCATTAAAATAATGGTAATATATTGAAATTATATTTAAAAAATAGCATTAAATTAAACATTTTTATTTTTTGCTGTCATATTATGACAATTTCCACTGTGGTCACTTATTATGCAATATTTTGAATTTGAAAAATAAACAAGGTATAATACTATAAAGCACAATTTACAAAACAGTTCTTAGCAAAAGCAAAATAGCTATGTAATTAATTAAAAATGTCTTTTTAAAAATTTTTTTATGATAAGAGTTTTTCCCATGTAATTGTCTCAGAGTTCTCAAAATATGCAACCGTTTTCTCTGTAAAATTAATTTTACACTTTTCCCCCTCTAATTTTTTTAAAAAAAATATTTCTGGCTTTTAGCTGTTATAGAATTGGTAGGGGTAATTTTACTTTAGGATTTTACACATTGCGGCTTTGAAAGTTTAGAAGGATTTGAAGGCAAAATTTATAGACTGAATATAGAAGATTCCAGAAAAATGTCTTCATGTTATTAACATGTAATTGGATGTACATTACAGAAAGTTTGTGGTGAACTTTTACTTTTTGGAGAATTTTCAGAAGAATAATGAAAACATAATATTTGAATGTTTTACTTTTGATACTAGAATCTTTTTCTTAACTTGTTCATCGTCCTTTTATTTTCCCTATTTTTCACTAGACACAAGCATTGAAAATATCAAAAAATGCTTCTAATCTTATAACATGGAAAGGCCTTATAGAAAGGAATTTTTTTATTAATAAAGAAATTGGAAACTGATTATTTAAACGATTCATCTAATGTGTCTTAATGCGTCATACGCAGGGCTGGCACTAGGCATTTTCCCAGCTGATGCAATCTCTGTGGATCCTAAATTTTGTTGCCTAAAGCCTTTCTAAATTCTGCTTCCAATGTCTGCTCTAAATTCTAAGCGTTTTATCATTTCTAGATTTTTGTTGCTCGGTGTGTCACTAAATTCTAAAAATTCTGTCACACCAGCTCTTACCATATATATTTCATATTTCTGAATGTTCATATTACCAAAGAAATAAAATTAGCAGCTTTTTCTAAACATTCTAAATGAATTTAGTTTTTTAGAATCACAAAAATCTTTAATTAAATCCAAAAATTCTAAAATGAAAAGGAAATGTGTTGAAAAAAGAAACTGAATACATGAAGAGAAAGAAAATTATTCTTCAAAGATATGTTCAGTTTTTATTATGTAAATTACCCAGTTGTTTATAATTTCAGTATTTACTATAGTTTTCCATTTCTATTTACCAGAATGCAAATCACTTAAACAGTTTTTAAACTGAGGTTTTTATAGTGTAAGACAGTGTGTTTCTGACCTCTGCTTGCTCGCTGCATTAGTTACTGCCGGTTCTGAAAATTTGTAATTATTCGTCTTCGCATTATCGCTGCCGACATTTGAATTTGTTATGATGATAGAATTACTGAGTCAGCTTAAATTAAAATTATATAGTCTTTGACTACAAATCCACATTTTGAGTTTGAATTTGACCACCAGGAGCTGTAACTGATGTTGTTATTATAAAAATGTGCCTAGAATTGCATTTACTTTAAGATAATGTTAAAAATTTTATATAATTCAAATTTTTTTTCGAAAAATATATAAAAATTATTTTTAAATACAAATTTTAAAACTAAATCATAAAAAATGGGTGCGTTTTATTTGAAATGAACCTAAATTTGAAAATGTGAAAGGAAGAATAAACTAAGTTTAATAAACAAATGCGATACTAACAAATATATACCAAATTCAATTAACATTCAGAAGCTAAAATTTGAGAGCTATTTTTTTAAAAACTACTTGTGCAATTTTTACAAAACTTGGCAGTTTGGCATAATTTGAGTCGTAGCAACGAAATATGGAAAAACATTGGCATGTCATTTCAGAAAAATTCCGGTTTTGGGTCAAAATACCCATATTCGAACAAAGCTATATATAAAGCTAATAGATAATCTAAGTCGTTAGGAGATAAAGCATGCAAAAACTAGTGAGGACATTAGTTTGCATACTGAGACAAATTTCTAACTGTTAGGAAAGATGCTTAAAGAGAAGGGAATCTATATAAATTAGCCAAAATGTCTGGGAAGGCTTCAAATTAAAAAGACGCACAAATATTTTTTTTTTAGTGTTATTACTACAAAACATTAATATTTTATAGCTTTAATGTGCAATTATCCTAATATTGTTTAAGAATCAATGTCATAAATTACATGTATTTTAAATTACATAATTTACATGTATTTTTTTTTATTTATTATTTTTTTAATTACATGTATTTTTATTATTTATTGTATTTGAAATTATAGCAAATTTTGAAATTTTATTAGATTATGATTTTAATAGGGCTTGAAAATAAATAAAATTTAATATTGGCCATGCAGAATCAGAATGACTAAGGTTATCTAACTACCTAATTTAATTATTAATAACTAACTGCATTTTAAAGTGAGTTATTTATTGCCTTTCATTAATCCTTATCGTGGTCGCAAGATAAAACACAAAAATGTAAAAAATTCATGTAAAATTATTCTTCGCATCTAGTGAGCTTTAAAATAATACAGAACAACTTATCACTTCTGGTGCTTTAATGGCTTATTGGAACCTTAAAGAGGGTTACAAACCCTGGAGCTCTACATGAAGCTACAACACCTATTTACTAAGCTTCTAAACTGAGCAAGTATGAAACAAAATGAGACATAAAAAAAATCGGCATAAAGTTAACTATTAGTAAAACCTAAATAAAATGTCACTTACCTTCTTTCAAATTTGTCTGACTGTTATAAGTGTAAAATATTTAATGCTACTTCATGTTTGATAATAATTCATCCTACCTATGGATCTATTTTATTTTTAGGATGTTATTACAAAAGTGAAGTTCAAGCATAGATAATACCTTTAATTTAATTTATTCAGTCCCCATTTATTCATAAGTCCTTAATTTTTTTTCATTAATGGTCTTTTAAAGTCCTTAAATGTACGTAATTTCTATGTGCAGATTATGTGCTTGAACCCTGTTCATGTGTAGTATAAATTTATGTAAATAAAATCCCAATATTAACTAATTTTACATTCTATAAGGACTTGAAAAGTAATTAAACTAGACTGAACAAAAATAACGGAAATTTTGTGGAAATTATAGCAAATTTTGGATTTATGGTAATAACTGAATAAGAGTGGAACTTTAGAAGGTTTAAATCATAACTCTAATCTGTTGATATAATCTACTTTTATATCACCATTTGACATTGATTACAGTAGAACACATTATTGCTCACATCAACTAAATGACAAAATACTATCCATTTATTGCCATTTGTAATGTAAGTATTTTGTTTTCAGTTGATGTGCTGTTTGGGCAACTTAGCATATATAAATAATCCCATTCCTGTTTCACTTTATGATCTAATTTTAGTTAAAATTGAGGAAGTAAAATTAATTGAAAGACTAATAATGCATAATAGAAATGTATAACTCATATTATGAAATCATAATTAGAAATAGAAAATATAACTAAGTATGTTAAGTGAAATCAGTTGCTTTCCAATCTTTGTAAATTATTATTATATAATATTTTTATATGTTTGAATTTATATTTTATTGAAATTTATTTATTTGCATTTGGCACTGTTATAAAGACTTCTCATTATAGCTACCATTTCATTACAATGGCTGGGACTAAATGGTTCCTAGCTGATCAGGGTATATTAAATTCATTTTATCTATAATTAATTATACCGTCCTTATTCTGTAGAATGCAAGGGGTGTCATAATAAGCATCAACAGTTTTTATAAAACAAGCAATCTGTAGAGATATTTTTAAACCTTTAGAAAAAAACTGTATGAATGAAGGCATTTAATCCAGTTTAGTAATGGAACTGTTGTATGATATTTTCTTGAAATGCATATAAAAATATTAAATATTTTTTTCACATTTTACTGAAACAGATTTGTTTCCATTCAACTGATGATGTAAAAATTTCAGGCAAGCCTCTTCATCCTTTATTTAGAGCTGAATCTGTAAAAGGGACTTGCCGTGTTATGTGTTTTCATCCAAAATCAAACATAACTCTCCCTTTGATGTCCTTGGATGAAATTCTCGAAATTATAAATGTGTGGGTGAAGGAAATGTTAAATCTTGGGGCCAAATACAAGTGGGTTCAGGTATGTGTTTTTAATAATGAGATAAAACTCTGATATTGTTACAATTTTTTAAAAATATTTATATAAGATAATAGTCATACTGTTAATATATTGTTATCATATTAGCGTTGTAAAAATAATGTAAAATGGCATTGTCTTATGTGTAATATTGTTATGATGTCAAATCAGACGGCATCTCTGTAATATTATAATAATAGTTTATTGTTAGATTTTGAAAGGTGTTTATATCTGTAATATTTTTCTGTAAATTTGTCTTCCTTATAAATAATGCTTGCTTTTGAATGATGCAGATTGAGTTAACATCAACAAAAACTTCTGAACAGCATTTAAAGTTTTTAAATAAAAACCTGAAGTATAAAGATGATTCTGCAGTTTTATTAAAGGTAGAACTGTATAAGATTGCAGTTCTTACTGGCTGTGTCGAATTAAAGTATTGGTGAATTTTCAGCCTTCTCTATTTAATTTTGAAATTTGTATGCTAATATTACTGCATTAAATAGAAAACCAGGAATTCTTATTCACAGAATATTTATTGTAAGCACTGAAATAAGTATAGTATTGCTCAAAGCCGTGCCAAGATATTTTTTTACCTGAGGCAAAAAGGTAAATGCGCGCCCTTATATATTTATATATGTAAGAAAATTAAAGACTATGTAAAAGATTAAATTAGCAACATAAATTTCTCTTCTCAGTTCTAAAAATAGTAACCTCTCTCTGCTCTGCATCATTTCTAGATTAATCCAGGTCATATGACTCTTACATAATTCTGGTGATGTAAATGGAACTAAACCTTGAACAGCCAATAATGATTTTATAGCAGTATTAATTATCCAGTCAAAATGCATTGAGAACCAAAACTAATCAGTCTGAATTAAGATTTCACCCTGAACGTGACACACTTGCTTTCTACACTTTGGTCTAGGTAGACTGCTGTCTGTCTGCTCCTTCTATCTTACTGCAAATTTATCTAAAATGTAGGTTTTTTGGAATAGGCACAATTAATGTGCCAACTTGTTTGTGGCCGCAACATATTTGCTAAAATAAAAAATGAAGATTTAATCTGCCAACTTCCTATTCATTATAGATCAGCATTTCTATGCCATCAAAATTTCTGCTCATCGTTACTTTTAAGTTTGTTTTTATTACACACACACACATATATATATATATCAAAATAACTATATTTGTATTAAACAAAAGTAACTGTATTAAATCAAAATATCATAATTCTTATAGCATAATTATGTCATAATTTTAATGTATTTTTTAATCATAGCTTTATAATTTCAGAAAAATAATATAGCCAATTATTTATAACTTTCAAATGACAGTATTAAAAAATTCCTTTTTGATAAATAATAAATAACATCAAAATGCACATTGCATTAATTTCCAGGTTTTCTTGAAATTCTTCCTATTGTTTTATTAATTTAAATTTTCCAAATCTTATTACCCCTAATAATAACTGACAAACTTAAAAATTTAATTAAAATAATTTTCGAATTCATATAGCTAATTTGGCTTCTCTTCTAATGATTCACCTGAGGCACGTGCCTCACCCTTATCCCGGCTCTGGTATTACTGTTCAACATAGTTTCCCTGTGTTTAGTTCAGTATACTTGACAATTGTATAGGTGCTCTATGAAATGAATTTTTTCTGACAGGTGCACAGCCATTCATACACCATTAACCAAACCTCATTGTCAAGTGAATCCAGAACCTTATTCCACTTAGAAGTGTACCTGGCTTTAATCTCCAGTAATAACACTCTGTGAAAATGCTTCACTATTAACCTACAGTCTGTTGCTTTAAAATAAACAATTCAAGATCATAACAACCCCTCTCATTTCATCTGTTAACATGAGTTGTCATCATCTTACAGAGGGAATTGAGAGATTTTAGCAAATTAGGGTTTTGATTTTTTTCTAGTCAGTTGTTGCTATGGTTCTAAGTCATAGTTTGAAGGCAAAGAAATGTCCCTGAAATATCTATTCTAAAGTAATGGATTATAGTACCAATGGAGGAGCTTTTAACAGGCATCAACATATCTTTCTTGTTGGGCTGTTGTGTACCCATCTTGTATACACTTTATGGAACTTCTTTAATAGTGATATCATCTTTTTGATTGTGATACAGTAGGCAACATTTATGATTGTGAAACAGTAGGCAACATTTGTGATTGTGATACAGTAGGCAACATTTAATGCAATTGCAGTTAATGTTGTCATTCAGATATTGTTAATGAATTACTGAAGTCCTTGTAGTGCCTGAGGGTTGCCAAATACTGGTAGTTTGATCCCAGTTCAGATCTAGGTGAATCGGCTGGGTGCATGATTGTTTTCCCATGTGTAATGTGAATATAAGCTGGTTTCTCTCAGAAAAATCATCCACAAAATCACTCGTCTTCTTAGGCAAATAGCCCTTGTGCACTTTATGATAATCAAATAACCTAACCTAACCTTCCCATTTATGTATGAAAACATGGAAAATATGTCATTTATTGTGATCAACAATACAGTTAATGTTATCAAAATACTACAGAATAAATTTTTTAAACTTGTAGTCAGTTAAGTTACCAAATAAAAAATAGAATTGCCAAATAAGGATGAAATTTCAGGTTCTCAAACTGTGGTACATCTACTACTAATGTTACATTACCAAATAAAAAATAGAATTGACAAATAAGGATGAAATTTCAGGTTCTCAAACTGTGGTACATCTATTACTAATGTTACATTACATTATTTTTGGTGGTAAAATTTTTATATAAAAGATATAAATGAATATTCAGAATGAATGTAAAATGGCACCCCTTTTGTTACATATATTTGTATATGAGGGTATATATGTTTTTAATTCTTATTTATGTGGTTCAAAATTTAGAAAGTTCAAGAAGCCCTGAAATAAAATATAAAAATTGCTGAATGATACAAACATGTTACCAAGCAATTTGATTTTGATTTAAGGCAATCATGTACAAAGGTTGGTTGCTTTGTTATTTGAGTATGACAAAGCATATGAAGGCTATTTGCCTAAAGGAAGGGATGCCTTCATAAAGAACTTTCTGAGAAAAGTTGGTTGTATTCATGTTACACACGAGGAAAACCATGAAAATGAACTATGCAGCCAGCCATCTGCCAGGGTTTAAACATGTAACAAACTACCAGTATTCAGCAATCTTTAATTGCCTGGGCACTGGTGAGTTCCTCATGTACACAAGAGCCTATTTTCCAAGTTTTAGGAAGGGCTGCTCGTTTAATTGTTCAATGAAGCAGAATTCTAGATAGGTTTGCTTTTTCACCCCCTATACTTTTCCTTTTTTTTAGCTCAATACTTGATGAATATTCTGTTACAAAATGCTCATTATTTTAGTCTGTTAATCATTTTTATCATGGAGTCTAGCAAAAGGCATAATAATCTGATTCTAAGGGATAAAGTTTTCTTGGTAAAATGCTATGGCCAACTTCCAGAATGAATCAACAGAATGCTGCTTTTAAATTAAGTATTTCTCAATCCCTCTTGTCCAAAGTTTTGAAGAATCAAGATATTATTTGCATATCAAGAGAAAATCAAAATGAAAACATGATGATGTAACAAGTGATGTGTAGTGGGAAAAATCACTGTGTTGAAAAAGTACTGAAGATTTGATTTGCAAATTTATGTGAAAAAGGTGTGCTAGTAGCAGTCCATTGATATGGTAGAAAGTTGACAAAATAATCTGTAAAAGTTAGAAAAGATAATTTTGTAGCAACAGATAGCTGATTTAAGTGACTAAAGAAAAAAGAAAACATTGTTTACAAATACATGCATGGTGTAGAAAAAAGATGCTGATTTACCTGTTGCAGTAACATGGTTGTCAAATTAATAGTCTAAATTTTTGACAAATACTGTACTCAAAACATTTATAATGCTGATAAAACAGGTCTGTATTATTGTGCATTACCTCTACATAGTATTTATTTAAAACTAAAGTTGAAATGGATGCAAACTATCAAAAGATTATGTGATTATGTTTTTATGTTATGTCAGTCAAAAGTCGTTAATCCGGACTCGTCGGGACTTCGGCGAGTCTGGATTAACGACTTTTGAATAAAGACTCGTCGAGACTTCGGCGATTCCGGATTATCGATTTCCGGATTATAGATCATCAGTTTAAATCTGGTAAGATCGCATGCAGAAATTATAAAATTAAAAATATGAAACCGTAATTTATGAAATAAAGAACAATTATGATCTAAAGGTTATCAAAGCTTATTATTTATTTGTTTACTTTATTAAACATTTCTTTTAATGTAAGTTGTTTAAGTTTCTTCGTTTTTTATGTGATAATACATTCTCTTTAATTCTATAAACAGGCATTTCTTGTTCAGTTACAAAGATCCGCTGTTCAAGTCCTATAATTGCTGTTTTGAGAATACGGACTAATTTCTCAATCGAAATTTTTTCGTTTTCAATAACCTGTGTTACTTTCCTCGCTATCGGAAGTGAATTATAATGACAAGGAATTTGATTTAAATCATATCAAAGACGGAGTACATCGATATGAAATACTACATTTAGTAAAGAATTATAAGCCAAATAAAATAAAAACATCTGCCCTGAAGATAAGGATAGTGCTGAGGGATCAGCTTCCAATTCATTGCACGCCGCGGTGTTAAAGATAAACGTTAAAAGTTTAGATAAACAAAGGATATGCCTTTATCCATTTTTTGCAGCAATTCCACTTTCTGTTTAATGGACTTCAAAACATACTTTCGCTTTACATTAGTAAATATTTACATTAGTAAATATATACCAGAAATTCTATTTGACATAATCGAAAGTTCAAGCTTACTTTTATAAAATTGCTATAACAGTCTGCAAAAAATAATAAGCCGAATCCAATTCGAAGATTAAGGAACAACGCAATCTGCAACATTAACTGAATTAGATAATTTTAGCTTAGCTTATACTGTCCGTTATACATTAAACGCGCATTCATAAACGTATTTTGCGCACGCGCACAAGCGTATTCGCAGCCGTAAAGATTAACG